ATAGCAAGCAAAGCAATAGGAGGTTTGGGAGGTTTGTGACACTTAAAGGTCTTTCTCAGCCGCTACTCACTCACTATTAAAGGTTGCAATGGCTCTTGCAAGGCTTCGAATGGTATCTGAGTTTGAGGGTGTGTAGCGCAGTGGTATTGCAAAGGAAGCACGGTGCCAATCTTAGGGGCGCTGTCACAGTGCCACAATGTAACCGGTTTCCGGATAGGTGCCCCATATTGGTAGGAGCGCAGCCTTTGTTTGAGCTTGCTGACTCCAACCTAGTGCTGAGTTCATTATACAAGGATGCTGCTTTCTTGTTTTGATGCATTGACTCTTCAGATAGGCCTAAAGTTTTCGGTTACGGCAATTATCGTAGCTTCAGTAAGAGAGCTACAACTGGTTTTGAAATTTTAGATCCTAATTGATAGTTAACAAGGCAGTATCTTGCATTTGTCAGGTTGGTTGTAAGAGACATCCAGTGAAGAACGCTGAATCCATTATATGCAGTGTTCTTCGGGATGTTAAGCCATTTATGTTATTGAATTCTATCTTCAGGCAAAGGCCGGACTCCTGCAAGCAGACGGCTGGCGAACATGGCCGCCGCGCCAAAGGCCATGGTCTCCTGTGTCAGCAGCTGCGCTAACGCAGGCTTCGGGGAAGTGCAGTTCTGGGGCAGGTAGAGGGGTAGGAGGAGACTTGGTTGCCGTTGACCCCCCTGCAAAAAGTTTAACTTTTGGTGGTTTAGTGGAAAACCCATTTATTTCCCAAAAAGTTAAAGTCTAAAGATCCAACCCGATAGCAGTCAAGTTAGGGGACATAGGCCACCCGGCTGGTGATTGCTGCCTTTACAGAGGGAGCTAAGGAACAGCCAGGAGTTCTGTGAGGACACGGCAGCAATTGTGAGGCACAAACAATGTTTGCTTTTGGGTACCTTGGATCAACGAGTTTAGAAATCGAGTCCGCGAGAGCTGAGTGAAGTGCTACTTGCCTTTTTCGCAGGGGACGCCCTGGGAGTGCAACGTTCTGTGAGTTTCCTGTTTGAATCAGCCAGCAAAGGAAGGGTGTGGTTTTCCCCATGGCTGGCAAGCAAGGCCCTTTTGGACTTTCCGACCATGCCTCTACTTGGCATGCGCCACCTCGTCCATGGTTCCTTTCTCGGTCTATGCTTGTTTTGACTTTTGTTCAAGAACGCAAACCCAGTTGCCCAGTGATGCCCTTGTTTGATTTGTTTTTTCTTTGGGGGGAGGGGTTCCCTTTAAACTCAACCAACCAAAACAGGATGCCCTTTTTTCCCATGGCCACTGCGCATCTGAAAAAACACTCACATCACTGAACTCCTTGCCCGTTGGAACATTGCATTGATGGGAGTGAATTGCTGCTGGACATGCCCCAGGATTTCCCAGGTCTCCCTTTCAGCGGTTTGAACTTCCCCCTTTTAGCCTGTTTAACGTGAACTTCCTGGCCGGGTGATGCTTAAGCAGGTCGACCAGGCTGCGACAAATACATCTTGAAGCCTCATGCCACGTTCTCGTGATATTCCCTGTGACGGTTTCCCACTGATTGCGAACGAGGACTGGGGATCCCCCATTTTGAACAACCCAGGACGTTAGTTCTTGCGGTTGGGATAACCACACTGCCAAGAAATGAGAACCTTTCCTGAGACGCAACCCAACTTAGGTTTGACTGGGCAGCCTTTGGCTGCCTCGATTCAATGAGTTGCTTGTTGGCACGGCCGAATTGTCTTTCCAATCTTTCCTGGACGTCTAAAAAGCGTTCGGCCCCAGCTTTCAAACAATCATGTGAGCAGCGTCCGGCTGTGGATGGACAACACCCTACACCACTTTGAAGCCATGGGAAACCTTTGTTCGTTGGTATCTACAGGGGAATCACCATTCCATGGTTTCTCTCCGGTGGTGCAAAATTTCGTCTATCCACAGTATGGGACCCATTTCTTGGAACCCTTTGAGGGTCGTGGAAGCCTGCGTCCATGCCACACCTGCAAGGGGGGGGAATGTTGGAATCCAGGCCTTGGTTCACTCGGAACCTGTGGTAGAGTCATGTGTCGACAGAGTTTCGGCGAGTTTCCACAATCCTGCAGAAGGGTCCATGCAAGGATGCTTGCGGGATATGCTTAAACAAAAACATCTTTACCAGCTCATTTGAAGGATCCCAGTGTAAGCAGGTGAACCCTGTATCAGCACGGTGCGGGCAGTGCCTGATAGTAGCATTCTGAGCTCCACCACTGGTGGGCTTAGTTTTCACCAACCAAGCCTCTTTTTGAAAGGAGACCACGAAAACGGGCGCCCATTTTTTTACATCAACCCACAAAAAGAGCTGGGTGCAACCGATCCTCCGGGGCGCACCGATCCCCAAGCTCACGCACCCAGCCGCCTGGGCGCCTGCGTTACTGCTCGCGGAGCAAGAGATGCCTGCGGAGGATCGGGTAGCATCCCAGACGTAGGGAACTGCCTATTCTAGGGGTTGATTCGATTCTTTTCAAGCATCGTTGTTTTCAATTGCAACAACCAGCTATTTTCCCTGGATTTCCGGAAGTTTTATAGAAAGAAGGATCCCTGGAAAGAATGGGGAAGGTACCCCTAGACCTACGTCAGGGTTTCCTCCCCACTGCCGTTTTGAAAACTTCAAAAGTGTCAGTTTTGATGGACACCACCAGGGATGGGTCAACTTCAGGGAACATCCAGTGACGCCTGGTTCCCCTCAAAGCCAAATTATATATTTTTTTGCCAACTCTCTCCAGCTCTGACAAATTTGGGCTGTTCAAGTCGCAGAGTTCTCAAGAAATGTTGTGTTTTTTCTCTTTCAACCACGGCTGGCAACTTCGAGATAGGGATTCCGGGATTCGCGGATTCCCCTTCAAGAGCCCCAACGGAAAGACGTCTCCAAGTGTCCTTTCTGTGCTTCGCAGTTGGACCGGCAAAAGTGCCGGCCCTGGTTGAAAATCATGGCCAATTTACAGTCAGTGTCCAATAATTTATGCTTGCGGGGCATTTAGGGAGTCCACGGGTATCAATACCCCTGCAGGGGTCATCAAAATGGAACCAGTCAAAAGCACATTGACGGAGCACCATATGGCAGGACAACTTGAACGGTTTCACGTGTGAATCTCGGGCGGGACTCATAAGGCCAGGACAGCTTTTTTCATTGTGGAAACAGCTTGACAAGGCACATGCCGTCTGCACAGGTCCATGAAACAGGTCCCCCCAAAAAGGAACTGCCTCTTCGCAAAATATGGGGACTCACCAAATATGAATTGACGACAAAGCATCCTTGGTTGGGGGCAGAAGCTCAGGTACAGTTTTCAGATATGTCTGACGCCTCAAATGTTGAGGCCAGAGAGCTGTGTGCCAGACCCCGGGCTGGGTGTGAGTTTGCTGAATCAGAACTCCATGAGTCGGAACATGGAACCCTCAGAATCCTCATGTACGAAGAGTTTCCTTTTCGGGCACCCTGTGTTTGCGTTCCATGATCCATAGGGGAGCCATGGGACCCTTGACGGTCCTGGGGCCAGCTTGGGAAAAGCCAAGATAGCTCAACCAAAACAAAGGAACTGATTGTGCCATCTTCCCCCCCCCCCCCGCTTTTTTTGGTTTATCTGACAATGTGCAGGGGCTGCAGGTTGAATCTGAACTCCGAGTTGAGCTCTTGAGGAGCGGCGCTTGTGCCGTACCGCCGCCCTCACCGCCCTTTCCGCCGCCCGGCGGTGGGCTGAGGCTGGAACTCGCATGAGGGGTCTCGTGTTTCGTGTGGTACCCGCTGGGTTTCTGAAATCAAAGGGAAGCCGCGGGAAACCGCGCACTGCTGTTTTCCGGTTGTCCCCTGCTTTAACACAAACCTACTGTTGTACGTTTGGGTGGTTTTTCAATCATTATTGCCTGTTGGTCGCCTGTCTTACTTGTGAGGTGGGTTGATGTCCAAGGGAAGTCTGCACAGGAAACACGGTGTGTCGTGTCCAACGTGTTGTTCTTGTTCATTTGTTTTTTCCAGTTGAACGCCACAGTTTGAGAACACAATTTTATCGGAGAATGCTGTTCTTTGTGTGAGCGCGCAAGCATTGCTTACTTTTTTGGCCACTTTGACTGAGCCCACACGCTGCAGGTGTCCAAGCGTTGATCATTGATCGCCGGTTTGCACGTCCGTGCATTGGCAAGTGCCTCAGCCCACTTCAAAAACGAAAGTCCGGACAGTCCTTAAAAAAAAAAACAAAATAGTTGGGCATCGCTTGTCGAGCAGAGAGCGTTTCTAAAGGTGGTTGCTGCCCAGGGTGTGTTGCCCTGCCAGGGTTGTCTGATTTGGCGTGCTGCGATTTGGCTCCAGCCTCGGCTTGCTTTGTTTATGTTCGTTCGTTTGGTCTTGCACGCATGGATGAAAGAGATCGATTTTACCTAGCCCTTTGTAAAGGTGGATGTCGCCTGGAACTGCCGCAGCAGGCGATGATTGTTGTGTTCTTGGTGCCGGTGAGTGTTTGGACTGGTCAACCTAGGGACTTGTACCACATGCTTATAGAGGAAGGCATTCCGTTCTTCCAAAGGCTATGTTCATGGATTCGTCTGGGTGCCCGTAAAAGTTGGCAGCCCCTGTTTCGTCAACAAAGGAAGTAATTTTGGAGCCACTACTGAGCAAAGGCTGCTGGTGTACCTGGAAGTTTCACTGAAGCATTGCTCCAATGATTCAAGCAGGGAGATCTGGTTTTCTTTGGGATGACCCTCCCGCAATCCAAGGGTTTCCACTCATTTTCTGCAATTCCACCCAGTTGTCCACATTCACAATCCAAAAAGGCATCATTTTCGCCCACGAATCTGTTATTTTCAAGACCCTTAGGGCACCTGCGGTAGTGGACAGCAAGCACAACTGTCAAGTAGTGCATGCACTTCGCTTTCTGCAAGTTTTAGCTGTTTGGTATTGGGCCGAAATCAAGCTGCCAAGCTTTTTGGGGCGGCGTGTTCACCGGTCGCTCGTTTAAAAAGGCGACGCGATTTCGCTCGTGGGCCATGGCCCTGCCGGTCTGCGGGCAGCGCCCGGTCAGTGCTGCGGCCAAGGGAGCAGTTCTGCTGCTACGCCACTCGCTCCATGCGGAGAGAGAGGGAGAGAGAGAGAGAGAGAGAGAGAGAGAGAGAGAGAGAGAGAGAGAGGGAGGGAGGGAGGGAGAGAGAAAGAGACAGACTTTGGTACATTTTGCTTGGTGTTAGGACTCCTTTCAGTTTCCTACAGGGGTAAGCCAACCAGTAGGGCACCTGAGATGCTTGATTCTCTGGCTGCAAAACGTTCTAGCCCGGAGGGGCCAGGGTTGATTCATGCTCTGGAGTTTGAAGGGTTGCTATGGGTTCCTCTATGTTAAGGCACGTCCATTTCTTTGCTACTTAGGCAACATTAACTGTTGCATTTTTCCACGTGCTTCCACGCTCACTGCAGTGGACCCGGTTCAGCCCCGTCTGGAAGCACGCTTTTGAACAACCCTCAACCAAGACTCAAATATATGCAAGCCAAGCCCCGCTGCCCCATCCCCTCACACAACTCCAAGGCCGCCAGAACAGCCGGAAGTCCGGCATTGAAGCAACCTGAAGCGGCTGAGTCAGCCCAAATTTACTTGAGAATGTGAATAGAGCGATGGAGAAGATCAAGAGATCAGTGCCAGGGGGAGGCCCAACAAGCTCCAGCCGCACACTTGAAGTGTCAGACCACTAGCGCCATTCCGAATAGCAGCATTTTTGGCAAGTGATCATCGTGTGGCCGCGTGATATACTGTTTTGTGTATTTTCCTTTGGCGGGTAGGGTGTTTGATGCGCCTGTTTCGGTGTTTGTTTTCGGGGTGGTTTTAGTGTTTTGGGGGTATGGCAGGTGGTTTTGGTGTCTGTTTCGTGTTTCCGGTGCTTTTGGTGTCAGACCCCAAAAGCGAATACCCGAATGCAGCCTTTGCGCGTTCCGACACCTCTTTAGGGCCCAAGCTACTTACACAGAACCATGGAGGCCGGGAGGGCGTGGGGGGGTGGGGGGGCACTGGGAACAGCTTCCAAGGCGACAGAGAGGCGCCGAAAAGCGCACGGGCGCCGCGCGTGGTGAGGCTTCCAGACCCCAAGGTGGCTGAGGACCCGTGGGAGTTCGCGATTGGTTGCCTTCAAGCCTTTGGCTTCTGTTTTTGGAGGGCGTTCTTTGAAAGTCAAGTACTGGAGAAAAGGTGCCCTTTCTTTTAGGTTCTTCTGGCCATTGGAAGTCAGAAGTTGGGATAGGAGACCTGTTGTGCACAGGACCGGTTTAATATCCCGTCGAGAAAAAGGAGGGGCGTCCTTTAGCCGCAACCACTGGGCGTTTAATTGAAACAACCCAGTCAGTGGCCTTGTGCTTCCTTTTACTTTGGGGGGCTCTGCTTTGGTCCAACTCTGCAGATGTTGACGACTCCGCTGATCTTGGAATCCTCAACGCACAAACCGGCCGCTTGACACACAAACCCCCAACGGAGCTCAGAAGCTTCAGATGATGCAAACAAATGCCGCGCCCAAACGTAGCTTCCTCTAAACGCTAGATGTGGGTCGGGCCCATATGGGCCCATGTATTTTGTTTGCTTACTCGTGTTTGGCCAATAGACTCTGTTCATCCAGATGTTGGCCTCGGTCCTTCCAGATTTCAGAGCTCTCCTTGCGGTGCCCCGGGATGAGCGAAATCCACTTCGCACCAGTGATAAGAGTTCAAGCCGCCCTGCTGACCTGGAAGGCTCGGATTGGATGCACCAAAGAAAGAAACAGGGCGAAACGCTATGAAACACCCAGTCGCCTTATTAGCCTATGTCTGCCTTTTTTGAGATAGTGGGCTTAAATGGAAACCAAAAGGAACACCGTATTATATATAGATACACATATAGCTATATGTTGATGTATTTGTTGATTAATGTGCCTATATTTATCTCAATGTTTTTGTTTCTTCGGGGGGGGTCATCTAAAACAATGACACGTCCATACCCTTTGGTGCATGTTGCTTGGATGCTAGGACTCTAGCTTTTTGCCAACTAAGCCACTAAAAGCTAAACTTTTAGCAGAGCAGAACGCAACGGAGTACCCCTTGACACATTTAGATGGAGCACATGTTGTACGGCCCGCAGCTTCCATCGTTTCCAGACCGCAGGAGCGGCCTGCGCCGAAGCCGAAGGGCGCTTGGGAGGCCGAGGCCGGGGTTTGGTGTGGGTTGCCATTGGTCGTTCCTGGTTGGGTTACTTGTATTAACTACTCTGTTGGCAGTCCTTTCTTTTCTTGTTAACACGACGAATGGCATTCCTTGTTGTCTTACGACGTATGGCTTTTTTGTTGGTTTGATTTTTGTCTGTATAATTCTAGGGGTTGATTCCCCATTCAAAAACCACAGGGTGTTTGTTTTTCTAGAAAGAAGGATGCCTAGAAAGAATGGGGAAGTTACCCCTGGAATAATTGTGTTTCAATTTCCATGTGCCATGCGTGGTCAGTTTTTTGTTTCTCGCCGCAGGCGCTGCCCGCAAGAGCCGCACCGGCCGCGAAGAGCCGGGCGCGCATTGGCGCGCGCTACCGGGAGGACTGTCGCCCGAAGTTGGGCTGAGGGCCGGTAGTCAGGAGACGGGGATTGAGCTAGGCTCCTCGGGTATAGGGTTCCCAGACCAAAAGAAAGGAAGTTGAAAGGGATTTGGAGGTTGCAGGGGTACCTTCCCTTTCCATTCTGAACCCAGGGATCCGAATCTTTTCAGGAAACCATCAAAAATTCAGGGGAAACAGCCGGTTTTTGAAAGGAACGTTGCTTGAAAAGAATGGGGGATCAACCCCTAGAGAGCTAGGCTCGGGCATAGGATTCCCAGACCAAAAGGTGGAAGTAGACAAAGGCAGTCGAGTCTTCAGGTGGCTGTTCTCATGAAACTGGGGGAAGCCTCAGAGCCTGAGACCTCCCCGCAAGGACCCAGGGAAGACGTCGATTCGATTCCAAGCTGTTAGCAAATCGAAGCTCAGCCATTTTTGAAGAGGTGGTTGGCCGCACGCCTGCGACGGCAATCAGAGACTTCGGCGGGGGAGCACGTCAAAGTTTCATTCTGAGCTGGGAGCGGCGAATTCAGCAAGCCGGATGGCGGTACAAAAGCTCACGCCTGTTTTTCAGCTTTTTTGGTTGCGGGCCATGTCCGAAGTCCCAGGTGTGTCAACTGGTCGCCGCTGGCGCGTCAGGTTCGAGTTCGGGTGGGCCGGATTCCAGAGGGATAGTTGGTTGATGTCAAGGACTTGATGTCCCGCACTTTTGTTAAATAAGAAAAAGCTCCCTTTTTGGACCTGTGGGAGCTTACTTGAAAGACCGATTTGCTATGTTTGTGTGTTTGTGCTTGGTTTTGCTGGCGGTTGAAAGGGACACTAAACAGAAGCCACTGATTTTGGGGTCCCTCCTAATTTGAGAATCGCCGAATCTGCTCCGAAATGATCGTTTGTGCGGCGGGCCGCTGAAATGGAGGTAGCTAAATATGAGGGAGGCAACCGCAAAACATCCTTGCTCCGAAGCAACCCTCACCATTCCAGTCGTTGCACCCATTGTACCTTGAAGAACCCACCAACATGCGTTTCTGGAAATTGAAGCACTGAAGCCCATGGCCCTTTGCCACTACCAGCTTTTTCAATTGCTCCATCTCCACGTGGTTTTGTCTCAAAGGGAACCCTCAAATGCCCCTTGAAACTTGAACCTGGGGATTTCCTCATTCTCCACTGAGCACCACTTAAGGGTACCCGCCAAAAACCGAGCCCCAGGTGCCCCCAAACCGGCCTCCAGATCCAGATCCGAGTGCCGCCCTTCTCGCGAGGACACCTCCTGGGGCCGAGACTTCGGGCGCTTCATCGGCAGCTCGGCGCACGGATCTGGCGACAAGCGTGCGACCCGTTTGGGGGGGCCGTTTCGGGGGGGGGGGGTAGGTTCTCTTTGGACATACTTAACTACGAGTTGGCCAGGTTGCCACGTAATTAGCGAGCTTCAATGGTGCGTTTGTTTGTCTGCTAAACCACGGTTGGCCCGAAAGCATTCTGCGCAAGTTGCTCTGCTTGCTCTGCTTGCTCCGCCCGCCCGCCCGCCCGCCCGCCCGCCCGCCCGCCCGCCCGCCCGCCCCCGCCCGCCCGCCCGCCCGCCCGCCCGCCGCCCGCCCGCCCGCCCGCTTGCTTGCTTGCTTGCTTGCTTGCTTGCTTGCTTGCTTGCTTGCTTGCTTGCTTGCTTGCTTGCTTGCTTGCTTGCTTGCTTGCTTGCTTGCTTGCTTGCTTGCTTGCTTGCTTGCTTGCTGCTTGCTTGCTTGCTTGCTTGCTTGCTTGCTTGCTTGCTTGCTTGCTTGCTTGCTTGCTTGCTTGCTTGCTTGCTTGCTTGCTTGCTTGCTTGCTTGCTTGCTTGCTTGCTTGCTTGCTTGCTTGCTTGCTTGCTTGCTTGTTGCTGTTCTTGGCATGTCGTTCAACTTGTTTGGTTCTGCTAAAGAATTAGTGCGGCCTGCAAGCACAAAAGAACCTTGCCGTGGGGCGTCCCTGAAGTCAACGAATGCGAATGATTCAGCTAAAGGCATGCGTCATGTGCAAGATGGTGGCAGGCTGTTGCAGTTTTATGCGAGCGGCTGAGCGCTTAGAAACATGCATCCTGGCAAGTACGTCCCTTGCCCCTGTTTGCGTCCCCCCTCGCCCAACTTCCAGGGCGGAAGTCGAAGGGTCAACCTCCACCCAAGGGCTCCTCCGGAGCCTTTTGCCCCGGGGGCCCTTTTCCAGGCTTGAGGTTCTCCGCACTTAAGTTTTTCGGGTTGGTTTAAAGGGAAGCCACGAGGGAACCGTTGCCATTCTGGGGGATTCCTTTTGGGGGTGTTCTATTTGGAGGCCGTGGCTTGGACAGAAAACAGGATTTGGACCCAACCGAGTTGTGCTCTGGGAAACCTAGGGGGGAGACCATTGGGGACACCAGTATTTTGAGAACCTGAGCATGAATACGGACTTTTGGTGAACGTCAGGTTCCATGTTGGGGGAGGGTTTCCAGGTCGCTTGCTTCAAGGAACGCCACACCCATAGCCATGGGCTCCAGGCGACGGCTTTCTGCCGCCCTTCTTGCTGGAGGCGCGCGGGCGCATGCGGGCGCGGGCTCCACAGCCGAGGCCCGTGCCAAAGGCAAGCCTCATTTGCAGCGCTTCTCAAGGTGCCTAAAAGGGTTTGTTTCCTTTCGGGCCCCCTTCAAAGCCATCCAACAAGCAACGCAAGAAATGGTCTCCACCGTTGTGAGGGAAAAAACAAACAACATTTGGGGCGCTTTAACTTTGTATCGGAAGGCAAAGCCTGCTTGCGCCGAAGGGAGGCAGTAGGAGAACTAGCTGTTGCTACACGGTGCAGAAACCGCCGCAGCTTGGTTCTCTCCGCTGCAGCTGTTCTTTTTCACCCAGTTTTTCCAATCAAGCAGGTGGAGCTCCCGGGTCACCTGGAAGTTTAGATCCCCTGTCTCGAAGTTGTTGTGGCATGTGGTTTTCTTCAGGGAGGTGGTTTCGCTTTTGGCTTCTCTGTAAACCAACCCCAAAAGGTTAAGCTGCGCTCAAAAAATGCTACCGAAGCCCAAAACATGCTCCCCAAGCCCAAAACATGCGACCGAAGCTAAAAACATACTACCGAAGCTCCCTCCACAAGGCAAGCTGCTTACCGTAAGCTCAAAATGCGCACCCATGGTCCCTTAGATCAACCCTGTCGATATCTCATTTCCCGAAGCGGTTCAGTCCAAGTCTCCACCTCGAGGTGCGGCCCGAAGGCAGCCCAGCAGTAGATCGAGCTTTTCACCCAGGGTCTCATATACATATATATATATATATGTGTATATATGTCAATATCATAGATATGTATATGCCATATATATATATTGATGGTACCCTCAAAAAGTAGGAAACCAGAACCCTCAAACAAGGTGGCTGAAGAATGGGTAGCCAGCTCAAACAAAACGGTTGTGGGGAAAAACATGTTCGGAACACTTGTGTGATGCCAAGGGACCTCCCTTCAGGGGTGATTGAAAAGTCATGGGGATGGCCACTCGTTCGTCACAGAAAGAGTGATTTCCCACCACCATGGTGAACAGTCACGTGAAGCAGTTGCTTGTTGAATGCATCCTTTAAGGACCTTGTTGAAACCCAGCTGAAAAAGTGCAATTGCTTAAGCACAATCTCTCAGAAGTTAGTGGCCCTGTGGAAAAGCGGCACTCTTTGATGCTTGTTGATTTGCAGGAAGCCCCTCCCCAAAAACACCGAATGTGCCCAGGTGGTATCCGCAACAGGCCCGGAATCCCGCTGGAAAAGTCCATGCAAGCTGCTCCGAACCGGGCAGAGACTCCACCGTGCCCCCCATGGTCTAGAGCGATAAAATTGTGCTGGGGTCAGTCCCAGCTACTTCTGCTGAGCTTGGACACACCAGAATGCTGAATCAGCTGCTGGGGAGAAGAAAGTAGAGCAAAAGCGGCCACCTCCCTTTGGGTTTCCCGTGAAATCCCTTTCAGGAGTCCTAACTCACAGCGGGCGTGACTCCCGGAACGCTTCAGGAGCTGCAGGGCAAAGACTTGCTGGATCAGCTCTTCCTCCTGCGCCACGCGATGCAGTGCCGGATCCGCTACGAGAAGGGCCGCCCGAAGAAAAATGAGAGGGGATCCGTTCCAAAAGTTTCAGCTCTTGCACCCGGAAAACGTGTGTAGCAGCCTGAATCCTGAAACGGACTCGTTGGATAGAACCCATTTAGGGTCACCCAACTGAGGTTTGGTCAACATATCCAGTTATATCAAGATGGGGTGTATTTATCCAACAGTGCAGCAGCCCTCTTCAAATGAGAAAGACCCCCTTGTTAATCCGAATCCTCGGTCCCGTTTGTGCATGGCCCCTTTGGGAAGACGGCATGGGAAATTCATTGGAAAGCTAGTTAGACCAACACGACTCACTGGAACCACGTGTTTTGTCCGTGGCTCACATGGCTTGGGCTTGCAGGACCCGCGCGATGCCATACTTTAGCTGTCCAAACCCTTGGGGGGAGGGGGGGAGGGGGGGAAGGGGATATCTCACCTTCAGCCATTGTCGCGCAATTCCGCTTTCTGGACTTTGTACCTTTTTGAGAAGCTTGCAGGCAGCAACTCTAGGGGTGTTCGTGGGCTAATCCACTTCGGGGAAAGTGACATAAAGGGGGGCATCCAACTTTGGGTTTGCTGGGAGCTGGGGTTCCTGTGGGCTTCGGCAGGAGCATGTTTGAACCATGGGTCTGAATTGTCTGTCGACAACAGGGCTATGCTTTCAAGCAGCCAAGCGAGCTTTTTGCCCGCCAAGATGTTCCCGGGATTCCCTGCGACGCATGTCCACCGAAAACACTGAAAACAAGCACGCTCACCCACTTGCATCCTGACAAGGCGAGGGTTTCAAGCAGGCGAGTATTTGTTCATGAAATTCGCGTAGGAGGATGTCAAAAAACGCTTCATGCGGCTCCCGTCCGGGGTCAGCTTCCTGCTCTAGTCAAGTGGGGACCATTTTTCACCCTCCTCATGGAATCTTAGTTTGGTGTGCTTGCTGGGATGGCACATCCAGCAGATGAGGGTCCTGTTTGCGCAAGCCAGGGTCGATTCACTAATTGTTCGAGTGGTTAAGTTGCCCTTTTTTTAAAGGGACTCTACGAATTAGTCTACATGTGTCTCCAATGCAGGTGGCTAGCTTTGAAGTGGGGGCAAGCCACCACAGCCGCACCAAGGCCGAGAGACCATCAAGCGTCCCTCGGAGAATCGCGGACTGACGCCTGGCAGGATTGCTGGCAGGACTTGGCTTGTTGGGCCTTTATCTGAAAGGGGCAGGGTACTGCCCCTTTGAGTTGTGAATTCGTCCCGCCAATCGGCAAACAGATGAACCTTCCGGACAAAGACCCAGCCAGAAGACCAGAAGAGGGCCAGCTTCTCGAGCCAAAGTTGAGCTCGTCCCATGGTCCCAGGAGCTGAAGCAATATCCGTGCGGCAGGGCTTGGTGTTCTAAGGATGTCCAAATCACAAAAAGAAGGAACCCGGGCAAAACACGCAGGTCAACCCGTTCAATGGTTTAAACTATTTGCCAAGTAATGTATGCAAGGTGGCTTAGCCGCATGTCATTTCCGCTTCGGACACTTCACTGCGATGGATGAAACCCTGGGATCAACCACCATCATTGGTACGAAATGGGTTTTGTCCATCCACAGTATGATCACCGGTAGACATGAGTTGTTTCATGTTGCTTTTCCTCGAAGCCAAGAGGATCTCCGAATAAAGAACAAATGGGCACGGCAAGGGGATGTGATACGAACATGTTTTCAGGTCATAAGTACTGCAAACTACCCCTCAAATGGCTTAGACTACAGTGACGTACAGGAGGGGGCGAAACCCTCTGGGTTTATCCCGGTTCATGGCGATTCCAAAACCATACAGGGTAGCCTCTGAACAACTTACCCGGACTGTGGATGGACATGAAAGCCTACACCAGTTGGATGGATGAAGCCCTACGAAAACTGGGACCAACCACCCACCGGTGCGAAGTGGGGCAACAATGATGGAAAGCGGTCCAGGAACAAGCCGGTGACCTACGCATCCAACATCTGGAACCGCGGCTACGCCAACTGCGCGGGGCACTGCGTGGTCTTCGCCTCCGCGTTGCGGGCCTTGCAGGTGCCCTACTGCGTGGTGAGCTTGACCAGCAGCTCGGTTCGTTGAACTGCCGGCGTCCATGGATTACGGAACTGCAGTGGATGGACGAAATCCTGCACCACCCAAGAAACCCTAGCACGATGATTCCCTTGTAAATACCAACGAACAATGGTTTCTCATGGTTTCAAAGTGCAGGATTTCGTCCATCCACAGTAGGATTAGTAGGGAACCACCGCATTTTTGAACCCAGCTTTTGCTGGTAAGCCACAAGGGCCGGACCTGTTTTGGGCTTGTGCCTTCAGAATTTTCAAGGCAGGAAACGGTTAGGAATTGCTTGGCATATTGTTTGGTCAGGCTTTCTGCACTTTGCTGCACTTTGTATGTGTTTGGCAGGTTTTGTTATCCTCACTTTTCCCCGAGTGTGGTTTTGCTTCTGGACATCCAAGAACGGTGGAGCATTTAATCCACTTGCCTTTGGTCAAGTGAGGCAAGCTACCAAAGAAGCCCAAGCACGCCATCATGCAGGTTGCCGCGCTGCAGCCAGCGGAGTTGGATTAGGTGGATATTCTGGGGCTTAGGTATAAACATGATAACTGGCGCATTTGGGTTACTGTGGACGGACGAAATCCAATTCGCACCACTTTGAAACCATGATTGACACCATTGTTCGTTGGTATTTTAGGTGGAGCAGGATTTCGTCCATCCACAGTAGCTCCCTTACCGCCTTGGTTTTAACCTACTTGCGTGGGTTGAACAGCCAAGTTAGGAGGGATGCTTGAGCAGCGGCAGTTGCATTTGTGGGCTTAAATGATTCGTGGATTTGTTCCATGTTTTTTTTTGTTTTTTCAAAGGTGAAATGAGGGTGATACGATGTATGTTTCCTCTTTGAGGTAGCCAGCGGGCTACACTTCTTTTTTGATTAAACAAAATGCAAAGATTGCGGAAGGACACTGGCTGGGGGTTATATTTATCCCAAATCCCTTTGTGAGTAGGACATTCTGCCAGGCGACTGGTGTTTGGCTGGTTGAAGCGGGTCTGTACTTCTCCCCCTTTGCAGGCGAAATGGAGGTTAGTTTGCAGTTGCCTTCGGGATATGCAAGTCTCAGTTGCTGCAAGTTGCCTTGCATTGCGAGCTTCTCCTTGGTCATGAGGCTGAACCAGCTGCGGCCAATCACACAGAATTAAGGGGCTAAACTCATTCCGCTGAGGGAGATCACGGCCGCCTCAAATCACCATCACCTGAGCTGATGAAGTAACGCCAAATCTCAGACACAAGCGCGAAAGAGCATTTGTTTTCGCGGCGAGTGGGAGGGATTGGGGCCACAGAAGTCGCGTGTTTCGTAGCCTGGAGTTTGCATTCAGCGATTTGAGGGTGGATCAAACTGGGTTTGCCCTTGGCCCAGACAGGTGCCATTAAGATTTGCCTGTTCAGCCTTCGGTCTCAGGTTGGCTTTCCAGAGCACGCGGACATCAAGCTCCTTGGCGAACTTGCCTCCCGCTTTTGCCGAGGTTCGACGTGTTCAAGTGAGGGTGTTCCCCAAGGCTTGCCTTTGATTTCCATTTGTCCTTGGGCTCCGCATCAGGCCAAAGGTGAGGTCTTCAGGATGCTAGACCTGACTTGGGGTGACTTCTGGAGCGGGTCTATCAGAACTGTCCACAATGCGGTGAGTTGTTCTGAACCTTGGCGTTGTATCGCCCCCAAACCGCTCGACACGTTGCTTCCCGCTTGAGAGTTGAAGGTGCGCTGAAGCACTCCCCGTATTCGCCAAACCAACCGGCAGTGAGCCAACATTGCCTCCGTGTCCCCGGATCAACTAGCTCCACAAGTGATCCGCCAAAAAGGGGTCACCCCTCAATCAAAATCAACTGGAAGTCAAATCCGGGGTTCCCAGCACCCGGACTTTGATCTTTGCAGGCAGGCCCTCTGACTTTCCAGAAGGGATGGCTTGGGCACATCCCAGCCAAGCAATGCGGAGGTCCACATGCATGGGCCCCTTTCTTGGCATATGCACTTCCCCCTGATTTCCCTTTGATTGCATGGAATGTGCAATCAGGCGCCTGTCAGGGGCCTCATGATTTCCAGATATGGGCCTTTAGGGTTCAATCTGCGGCGTCGGATGGCATGTGGGAAGCAAGCAAACGAAGTCGACCGTCTTAGGGGCAAAGAGTTTGGACTCTGCCCAGCCCATTCACGTGAGACATATGAGACATGGCCAGTAAGAGAAACGGCCCCGAAAGGAGCCCTGCGGCTTTGGCTTTGGGAAGTGGGAGGCAGTTCCGCCAGTTGTGGCCTACCCTTTCTGATTAGCTTTGTGGACTTTGCAGCATGGCCCCATGTCCTCTTTGGCCTCAGTCAGGTTGTTTCCAAATGATAGGCCCTTCGGACTTACTATGCAGTAAAGGCTTTGAACGCTAGATGGGGTGATGGGTAAGTATAAACCTAATTGAGTCAGGAGCACAGCACAAGAAAGTTCCAGCTTACTCAGCGCTTCATACTGTGGATGGACCAAATCTGTTTCGCACCAGGTGGTAGGTGGCTTATCTCGGTATGCATACGCTGGATGGACGAAATCCTGCACCACCAAAGAATCCTTGGAATTCTGATTCCCCTGCAAATACCAGCAATGGTTTCCCACGGCTTCAAAGTGGTGCGAACGGATTTCGCAACCATCCACAGTAGGGTTTCCATCCTAACATCCTAACCCAGAGGGTCCAAGTACCTTCTAAGGAGGTACTGAACGACCCCTTTTTACCCCCCAAAAGCCATCCCCATGAGGTACCAAGGGACCCTCTGGGTAACGTCCATCAAGGCCTTGAAGGTGTGGAGGCTTACTTAAAGGGGCGATCCGGTACTTAGTAACTGGTTAATAACCATGGTTATAAAGTTATAACAGTTATAACCCACTGAACGGAGACTTACAACCATGGCGTTTGTGGGTTATTTCACCATGGCTACTAACCACTTCAGTACCCTGCCCTGCCCCTTCAAGTATGACTTGCCAGGAAGTTGTCGCGGAGGGCCTACGAGCTCTGGGCCCAGTTCTACGGCCGAAGTGTGAAGGACCCCAAGGAGAAAGGCCGAGAGGCCAGTGGGGTCCAAAACGGGTCCCTGGAGTCTCCACGACCCTAAACAAATGGGGTCATTGCCCACAAAAATGGGGTCATGGACCCATTTTTTAAGGGTCTTGGAGAGTCTAGGTGCCCCGGTGCACGGCGTGTCGCATTTGAAATGCCCAAAACGTATGCAATTTGGCCTTGGACCCTGGGTTGCCTCTACTCGCTGGTTCTCAGCAGGGAATGAGAATTGGAATGACCCCAACTTCAAGCGTCCAACTGGTGGTTTCCTTTCTGGAGACCAAAGCCTTGGTTCATTCCCTTTCTCATTCCCTACTTATCGCACCGGCAAGTTGACCACCCCACGAGTTTCAGCTTTTCCCGGTCGGAGCTGTTCGGCCAAGAGTTTGTTTTGGGCTTTTGGGGGGTCCTTCCATTTGCTTCAGGCAATTTTGGTTCTCCTGTTGGGCCCAAACGGGGCTGGCGATGACTGGTAGGCGTGCTATATTTTTTGATGGCACCTTGAGCACATGCAAGGTGCCCGACTAATGTAGAAACACACCCGACACTCACCTCCGTTCTGTCAACACTTTATACCTCTGGGATGATATTTAAAGTGGTCAAAAAAAAAGTTGCCTTTGGCCGATCCACCCAGGAAGCGGGGATCCAATTCATGTTCCACCTTTCTGGTCCCCTACAATCCCGCTGTACGGCTTCCGGGTTCATTGAACAAAGGTAAGCTATGGGATTAAATGGGGAACCTCCAAAGTGGCTGGCGGACATCTCCCAGTGCCTGGAGCCGCCGCCCACGGCGTAGCTCACTTGCCAAAGCTTGTCCGACACATCTGGGGAGTGCTCCATGCAGGAGCCCCAACCCCTTGAAACACCAGGTCTGCGTGTTTTCCATTTTCGCCCACCATTCCTCTTCCCAAATGTTCGTCCATTCATCCGGATTTCGGTGTTGGATCGCCGGTCTCCCGGCCTACTGTGGATGGACGAAATCCAATTCGCACCACTTTGAAACCATGGGAAACCATTGTTTGTTGGTATTTGCAGGGGAATCATTATTCCAGGGTTTCTTGGGTGGTGCAAAATGGATTTCGCAACCATCCACAGCATGAATGCTGGTTGCAAGTGGTGTCTTCGGTGGGTTTTGCCACAGCAAGGGTTTGAGCCTCCAACCGTGGGAGGATTTCGTATTGCGTCCCTCCATATGAAGCTGTGTGGAGCGGCCGCGCGCAGGTCCGGCTCTTCACGGGGCTGAAGTTCACGCGGAGCCGGGAGGGCAGCGCCGCGGCGCTGCACAAGGGCTGCGGCCGGTGGCTGGTCTTGGACCCCGGCGCCAAGGCCTGCGAAGCGAAGTACTCTTCGTCCATGGCTCTTTGGGCCTTGCGCCGTTGTCTTTTCTTGTGTTTTGTTTATTTAGGTTTTTTGTTTTTGGGGGGGGAGGGGAGAGGTTCTGTTTCAAAGAGGAACCCCGGAAAGGTCGGCTTCCTTGCTTTGCAAACCAGCCCCAAAATTATAAGGGATGTTCAAACACAACCCACAAGATCCTGACCTTGGGTGGTCTCTGAATAGGGGTTATGGTTTGGGGTTGACTTGGCCAACGCTTCATTTTGAACAGCCAAGAGAATTGCCAGCTGGCAGTGCATGGTTCATATGTGATTTGGGAGCGAGCTCTAAATGCCAACCACGAAAACTAGGGGATGCGCCCCAACTTGCCCATGCCTTCTTTGGGAAGCAAGTCATTTTGATGACGGCCATTTCGAGCTTGTCAATGGGTAATGTTTAAGCGGAAGGATGCCCATGCTGAAGGTTCTATGCCAATCTTCGCAGATAACTTCCCGTTTCGCTAGCCCCGCCTAAGTATGGGTGTGGCTCAGTAAAATTAAAGAACTGGGGTTACGCAGGTTTAGTCCTTGGTTCCATTTGCCAAGGCGCCATTTTGGTACATGTTTTTTTGACCCACCTAAATATGGAGAACGTATCTGATCCAGATCCCTCAAGGGTTGGAGCCTGCAAGCCTGGATCATGGGATAGGGTATGGGGTGTCAGTCGGTTCCCCAAATCGGCCTTTCATTTCACAAGGTGAAGCTTCGATCTCGAGGCGCATTTTCCGGAAACAAGATGCTGCTGTTTTTCTTGAAACAAAATGCTGCTGTTTTTTTCTTGATTTTTTGTTTTGTTCTCCAAGAGTGGGGTCCACGTTGATCAGGAGGTTGAATAGATACGGGCATAGCCTTTGTTTGGTTTTTCTTCTTCGAATGGCGGATGTAACGTAATCAGGAGGTTAAATGAATACGGCCTGAGCAGGGGGATTTGTTCGACAGGCAGATTTAGCCTGGTGCTTGGGGGTGGTTCAGTTCAGTCCTTGGGAAGTTGTCCATGCATTGAGCCCTTTTGTGTGCTTTGCTTGCCTTGAGTCTTTCCGCAGGTAGGGTGCTACCAGCACTTGATCGAGAATGGGTACATGACCCAGTCCAACAAGTCGTTTTGGTTCGCTGCCCAGCCACAGATCAAGAATTGGCTCCCGTTCGCCGGTGTGGAACCCGACGCCGGCACGCCGGATATGCCACACAGCGACTCGGACAGCGATGCGTCCAGTGAATTCGAATTTCAGGGAGCCCGATGAGTGCATGATAGTGCATTTTTTTTTTTTTCGGTTTCACCCAGTGTCAGCTAGTTGCTGATTGGGCTGGATGGTCGTTTTGCCCAGTTTGCCCTGTTCAGCGTAAAGTGGGAAGATGCCAAGCACCCAAAAAGGCGACCAATCAGCTGGCGGCAAGATCCAAAGCCCGCCCCTGGGGGCAAAAGCGCGCCAAATGCGGAGCTCCGGACCTCGAGTTAAGAACTGTCCCATACATCCATGGATGGCTGAACCTCACCCTGATTTTAAAGGGAACCTATCACTACTGGAAATAGGTTTATCTTTTTTCCAGGGGTCTTAGCCAAATGGAAGATCAGGGACTGACCCGCCAGTTTGCCGATCAATTTGCAGTTCTCGGACCTTAAATAGATCGGCAGAAGCCGAAGCTTATAATTTAATATGGCGATCCATTTGCACACACAAGTCGCCTCGGCCATTCTGAAAGTCAGGCCAAGGTGGGCTTCACGCCAAATCGGAGCGCGTGCACCTACGACCACGGACACGGTGCAAGTGATTGATTCTCAGTGCCAAGGCAGCATTGCCTAGAGAACACGAGCATGGGAATCCCCTATATTATGCTGGCTTCATCTTTGTTTCCCAAAAAATGAGTTAGCCAAAAGGGCAGGGATCCCTGCATCAGGCATCTAGGAAACACCCATATTGTATGCTCGGGCTTTTGCAGCGTTGTTTTTGTATCGGATTCCTTGCTGTTTGCTAGGGAAGCTACCATGACACAGCCTCCCGCAGTGCCAAACGTTTGAGAAACTGTTGGTTTTCTAAATGTTGCAAAATTCCGTCCAGCAAACATGACTGAGATACCACGGGTTCCTTTTTCCTGGGGAATCGAATCTCTGGTAAAGGAGGCCTTTTCAGAGCAGCTTGGCTTCTTGGCAGGCGGCGCGGCTCTTGAATGTCGAAGGCGCGAACGAGTGGTCCCCTGAAATACTCAAAGATCCACTTCTCACTTCCTAAGTTTCTGGACATTGTTTTCGGAGAGGTCGCTTTCATTTCATTCACCAAACAGACACTTGTTCTAAGCACTCCCCAGGAAGTGAGATTTAAGGAGAGGATCAGATACTTGGTCAGTGCGTACCACCCATTTCTCTCGTTACAAGTCTTTTGACCATTTCCAAAGCAGAGAAATGGCATTGGGTCTCTTTTGTTCCCCTCCAGGGGCCCAGGTGTCCCTTGTGGCCTTTGGGCATTGAGGGCCAATGTGCGTGACACACGTAGCGGGACCCGGCCGCGAGAGACACGGTTTGATATGGCAGTTTTTTTTGAGGGTACCCCTAAATTGGCGGTTTTTCAAGAGTAACTAGCAGGAAAGCCAGGAGTTTGTTCGGGAAGAAACAAGACACCCATGCGAGCTACATTCTCCAAAGCTCTTACCGCGAAATGAACAAAGTGTCGGTATGTAACTTCAAATCAGCGGTAGTGTGACAACTTTAAGGACTCCTTCGCACGGTTGGCTTCGATGGGTTCACGTGGACCACCCGTCATGCTGCCCCAACGAGAAGCGAGAAAGAAGGAAATTCTTCAGGGGGGCCTGCAGGACACGCCCAGGTTCAGTGTTGCCATGTGCCCGTGCGGCGTTCAGTAACAACTACTACAAGCGAAACACACCTCCCTCTCTCTCGCTCTCTCTATATGCACGTGCCAGATTCAAAGATATGCGCACATGCCAAATCCAAATACATGCCGCTCACACAAATACACATATAGGTATACAAACCGCACATTATATTATATCAGGCGTGCCCGTTGGGAGCTGCGTTTGAGCCAGCCTTAGTCTATAGCAGGCACATAGGCAAGCAACAATGGTGAATGATAGGTTTTCCAACTTGTTTCCCACTTGCAATAATTACTGAGGTGAAGATCAGTGTGTAGCAGGTGTAATCGGATAATGTTTGCCCAGTCTTATTTCACATAGTGGATTCGCCGAAACGCCGGCAGCGGGAACGAGGTGCCCCACAAGGAAAGTCCCTTGGAGATTGATCAAGTTGGGCTGTTGAAACGGCGAAGATCTGTAAAGTTCAAGGGCGCCCCGGTCCACTTGGGCGAAGGTAGGCACAATTCCCTGGTTTCACCAGCTCCCTTGCGGACAGACAGGGAGTTGTGCCACCGCCCTTCGTGGCGAACGGATCTGCAGCGGCGGGTTCGAAGCTCACGCCAGATGGCGGCGTGGACCTTGTCGGCCTTTGCGCTGCCCTGCGCGCGAGGCCGGAGACAGGGTCGGGGACGCGGCGTCCTAGATAGACAGATGCACACGTGGGTTGGTGGGCAGGTAGGTAGGCAGGCAAGCAGGTAGGTAGGTAAGGTAGGTGGGGAGGAAGATAGAGAGCTTGATAGAGCCTAGATATCTGTGGCGCTTACCAGAAGTTGGTATTCCCCCTTTCCCTTCAGAGCAATGTACCTTGAAAATAAGAATGCCCACCTTTCGAACAACATTTCCCACCAAAAGTATATAAATATAATTTAGCATACATATGCATAGGTCCATGTAGGCATGTTCACGTGCCTGATTGCACACGACAAGCTCATTGCCGGGTGCTTGAGCAAGCTGGCCGCTTCTCTCGGGCAGGGCTCAAAGCCTCGATTGGCAAAGTTTGCTAGAATGGTTATCCCAGTTGCCGCTGAGAAGCAGAGGGCCCCCCCTCTCCCCTTCTCCCCTTCAAGGTCCACAAGGTTGGAAAAGTCCCCAAACCTGAGATGTTTTGGAGGACCCCTGATTAGTCTGGAGCCCCTGCGGTCCTCGTCCTTTTGCTCCTGGCCCCTTCCCAGAGAATTGGCTCCTTTCTGCCCTAAATGGCAACGGCTGTTTGCTTGTTTTGAGCTCAAAAGGGCCCTGATTCAGCGCGGGCGGCTTTTTGTTAATGATGGGGGGTTGGCTTGCAGGAAGGGCCTCCTTTGTGAGCTTGAACACCTTGTCAGTTTGCAATGTTTAGTTAAGACAGCTTTTTTACGAAGCGCACGTTTGGAAAACTTGAGCGGCTTTGCCAGTGGCTTGATATTTGTGGGGCTGGCACGGCTAAGCAAACGCAAAATGCCTACACACTATAACAATAAAATTCTTACAACATATATAAGTATCAGTGTTATATATCATAAAGTAAGTCATGATGAAACTTATAAGCACTAGTACTAAGCAAACGGGAAAGCCCCTCAGGTTGTGCGGCTTGGGAGCACCCTATGACCATGCCGTGTTTTGCTCCTGCACGGACCTGAAACTGGGGGAAGTTCGGTTGTTCACATATTTGTCCCACTGGAAGAAGCCTGGTGAATCAGACCAGCCTTGGGAACCGTTTTGGGCACTCCAGGCGGGCCTCGTCTGAGGCCGTCGCAGCTCGAGCAGTTGTCAGCACGGCTGCTTGAGGAAGGTGAAGATCGACATCGCTTGCGGGCGGTGGGCTCGGCATGGCTTAGACGTGCAAGCCAAGCCATCCGATAGGGCAGGGTGTCATGTCTTTTCGGGGGCTGGGAACTCATAATTTGTCAGGGGGCCATACAAGGGAAACCTAGCGTACTTCGTTACTGGTTGCCTTTCGATGTTGGGTTCCTTCATTTTTTGTTTCGACCAGAAAGTCCATTGTTGGCAGGGGGTTTTAAGTCTGGCTCCCAAACAATAGCCTCAAAATTCCACGCCCTTCGTGGAGGCAAACTCCATGGCCTGCCTGGAGTCGACCTAGCCGTGTCGGTGAGTCTTCCTCTCGTGTGCCTAAAGCGAATAGACGAATTGACCCTTTCATCTTTTAGGTCTGTTTCCTGTTGGCCCGTGTGTAGCCATGACCTTAAAGTTTGTGTTTTCAGGTGTGTCCTTCGCCTACTCTTCGACATTCACATGCAAAGGCTACCTGCGTTTGTGTCCCGCACTCACCACTTTGCAGGAGGGTAGGGTGATCGTTGCCAGGTGTTTTTGGCCAGCAATGGCGCTGAATCAGAACAAACCCAAACAGAATTTGCCATCCGCTTCAACCAAACAAGCTAAACCGGCGGCATGGTTGCGACACAGCTGAGGCGGACAGGGCCGCTGAAAGGAGGGCAAACCAACAGGAACCCCCTAAAGAATTCCTCAATTTTGAGTAACCTAGTTTGGGCCTCGGCCTCACCAGCGAAATTTTGAGGGCCCCTAAGTAAAATTCAGCAGGCGTTTGGATGTATCCTTTAAGGAAACCTGATAGAGGGCCATCCTTTGTCCTGCCTTGAGATCCACTTGTGATCGTTGTACTTTCGCAGTGGCCGTGCAGGGCACGTCCGATTCGTGCATGCGTGGCACGGGTTTGTTTGGCACGTTGCCCCCAAGAAGCAGGCCAAACAGGAGCCCGGAGACAACCAACCCGACGCAGTTGTTCCGGACCTCTCTTATGTTTGACTCTACTGGCGCGTGTTGCTCAGCCGAGCGCCTCGCAACTGCAACTTCAGCAAGGAGTGCCGCCCTCCTGGGCAACTTGAAAGGTTATTCGCAGTCATCCAGGGTACGGGGCCCAAAGATCAACAGGAAAGGCTCCCACAAGATGAAGCAGTTGAGCACCCAAATGCCATAACTTACTTGGCCAATCTATAGAGATAGATGGGTCCAGCGCCCTGGTGTGAGTGCCGGCAGAAACAACACTCAAGTGGGCAGTGATTTGAAGATTGGAGCCATCAAGGGATTTTTGTTCGAGGTTCATTAGTCGTCCGTACTCTTTTCAGGGGAAAGCAGACAGGGACGCCCCCCAATTTGCTGGGCTCCCTGAGGCCCGCTTGCTAGAATTCTCAGAAACATCCCCACCCCCTTCAAAAATGGAATTGGTGAAGGGGTGACCCCTGGAATTTTCCATTTTCCCTTTTGTGGGAAAGATTGAATAAATGGAATTGTGGGACCCCCCCTTAAGGTAGGGGGGGCTTACAGCTCGAATTGTGAGCAACATCCAGCCACCGCCAGGCAGAGCGACTAGAGGAGCATGAGTCCCTCTCATCCGCTGCCATGGCTGTGGCTATGCGCACGG